ATGCATGAGCATAACCAATGTACACGGGGTGGGGGGAAGCTGGGGAGTGGTCAGTGGGGGGGAAAGGAGACAAATGTAATACTTTAAACAATAAAGAATTTAAATTAAAAAAAATTAATGGACCCTGAAACAATCAATACAAACAAGGTCATGTCCTTAGAAAACTTCCAGCCTAAGCTTGACACTAGAATTCATTAATTTAATCCCCCTCTTGCCAACCCCTCCCATTCCCTTACTTACTCCCTGGTCTTTCCAGGGCATCCATCTGGAAAATTCCAATCAATCCAACTTCCCTCGCTCTTTTACACGCACAGAGGACGCCCGTTTAGAGAAAATCACACAGAGGCAGTGAGCGGGGCCACTACCAGAACCCTGTCTCTAATTCCACTTGGAACTTAACAGTGCGGGGCAGTCCTTCTGTTATCCTTTATCCGCTTTTTCTCCTCCTTACCATTCTCTTACCTTCTTTCATCTCCAACCTCTGCAAAAATGGTCAGAAAGAAATAGAAGTCCAGCTTCTTCAATTTTCTGTCCTTTTTCCCACATGAAGAACTGTTTACACGCACATCTATCATTTTCTCCAATCCTAAGGGGGCAGGAGTCTGTATCTCCATCCCTTCGCACACACATGCCTCAGCTGTCCCAGTCAGGCGGTCCCCAAGTCCTGTATATTCTACTACCAAAAGCAGCTAGCTTCAACTTCTTATCTTCCATGGCTACATTGCTTAAACTTCAAGCACTTCTTTTTTTAGATTTCTTCCCTTCCCCCATTCCAACCTCTTTTCCCACTTAATAATCTCTAATAAATCTGACTCACAATTCAAATTACCTGGAATTAAATTCTCACAGATGTCAAAAAAAAAGGTAGGAAGAAGTAAAAATTGCCTTAAATTATTCATGGGAGTAAATCGAAGATGAGAGAGAGAGATAGTGAGAGCAAGAGAGAGACAGGGAGGAAGAGAGAAAGGAATACAGGAACTACCCTGTTTCCCCGAAAATAAGACAGTGTCTTATATTAAATTTTTCTCCCAAAGTTGCGCTAGGTCTTATTTTCAGGGAATGTCTTATCTTTCCATGCGCTAGGTCTTATTTTCGGAGGATGTCTTATTTTCAGGGAAGCAGGGTATTTTGGCCTGTCATGTGAAGATAACTGACATTTTGAGATACTTAATCTTTAGGCTTGCCATTTAACTTCTATACACAAATATTTTTAAAATATATTTTTATTGATATTTTACAAGAGGAAGGGAGAGAAACAGAGAGAGTTAGAAACATCGATCAGCTGCCTCCTGCACACTCCCTGCTGGGGATGTGCCTGCAACCAAGGTACATGCCCTTGACCGGAATCCAACCTGGGACCCTTGAGTCCACAGGCCGACGCTCTATCCACTGAGCCAAACCGGTTTCGGCCACAATGTTTCTATAGGGGGTTCTATTCTGAAAGGATTTCATTCACATTATGTGCAGATACTGTGTTCCCTAAAAGGCTCTTGTTACGTCACCTTCTGGTTTCAAGAGACTGATCTGTCATTTCCAATGTCACGACTCATAGTTTCTACTCATCCCTTAGCCCCGTGGTCGGCAAACTCCTTAGTCAACAGAACAAATAATAATACAACGACTGATATTTCTTTTGAGAGCTGAAAACCGACTTCTGCGCATGGGCCATGAAGTTTCAATCGCACTGTATATGCATGCCCGCACCTGGTATTTTGTGGGAGACCACACTCAAGGGGCCAAAGAGCCACATGTGGCTCACGAGCCGCAGTTTGCTGACCACTGCATTAGCCCATTATAGAAAAGAACAAGTCTTAATAGCCTCTCAATTCTGTATGTTTTTAATGAGTTTAACTGCAAACCAGGTACTGTGCCTATTAAGACAAACAGGACACAGCTCATCAATAATTAACAATTTAGTTAGGAGTGCAATAGTGAGAAAAGGATGGTAATTAACATATATATAGGGTATATTGTTACTAAAGCTACAATGAGCTGGAGAATCATGAGGAATACTTTATGCCCTTCTTAAGAGGTTAAGAAATGTCTTCTTTCCATTTTCCAGGAGGAAAGATGCACATACATGTTGATAAATGTTGGCACATAAAGACTTACAGTCGCCTGGCCAGCCTGGCTCAGTGGTTAAGCATCGATCTCTGAATCAGGAGGTCAAGGTTTGATTCCTGGTCAGGACACATATCCAAGCTGCGGGCTGGATTCCCAGTGTGGGGTTTGAAGGAGGCAGCTGTCAGTGGTTCTCTCTCATCATTGTTGTTTCTCTCTCTCTCCCTCTCCCTTCCTCTTTGAAATCAATTTAAAAAAAATACAACTTATAGTAGTAGATAGAGGTAGATCACTCTAAATGGGTGAAAAGGAAAAGAAAGAGGAGCCTTCATGAATTTACTCTTCATTTTCAACCCAGGGGAAAGGAGAGGTGGAGAGCAGGTGGTACAGGAAACTTGTCTGTAATGTAAAACTAGCTATGAACACTCCATAAAGGGGGCCTGTACCCATCCCTAAATCTCTTCCTAATGACACATTTTCCCTTCCTCTTCTTATGAGAAGTTCCCTTTCTCAGCTGTTGCAGCATTGTGGGGTATAGTGGGATGGGTTATAGGAACCAATAACCAGGCCTGGCTTCCCTGTAACAGCTTTTCCTGACTGTCTGAGCCACTATTTGCCAAAATCATAAGTGACAAAAATATTAATATGTTATTTCTGTAATATGCAAAGAGAGTACACACACACACACACACACACACACACACTAGAGGACCAGTGCATAAAAATCGTGCATTATGTCCCTCAGCCTGGCCTGCACCTTCTCCAATCTGGGACCCCTTGGGGGATGTCTGACTGCCCTTGAGGGATGTCTGACTGCCAGGTCTGCTGGCTCCTAACCACTTGCCTGCCTGCCTGCCTGATTACCCCTATCCACTTCTACCTGTTAGACTGATCACTCTCTAACCCCTCACCTGCTGGCCTGATTGACACCTAACTGCTCCCCTGCTGGCCTGATCATTCCCAACTGCCCTGCCCTGCTGGCCTGATCACCCCCAACTGCCCACCCCCAACTACCCTCCACTGCCAACCTGATTACTCCTAACTGCCCTCCCCTGCTGACCTGGTCGTCCCCAACTGCCCTCCCCTGCAGGCAGGCCTGGTTGTCCCCAACTGCCCTCCCCTGCCAGCCATCTTGTGGCAGCCATCTTGTGATGGCGTGATGCCACCTAGGCTTTTATTATATAGGATATATATCTGTGTGTGTGTGTGTGTTTGTGTGTGTGTTTTGCCTCCTCCTTTACCTTGACTTTCTCCCCAGATCCTCTTTACCATTCTCTGTAGTGCACAAAAAATAAGTCTAGTTGCCATTACTTCTTGTCAAAAGAGGAAACAGAAAAGTAACTTGATTAGTACAGAGTCTGGACTGGAGCCCAGCTCTTAAGAGATGTAAATTGGCACTCTTTTCACAAAGCTGCACTTTCATGCTGACTTCCACTCTTCCATTCAACCAGTTCAAAACACTGCCTACATCACATTCCCCTGACACATCTCTCACCTCAAATCTTCCTCTGGCTCCTCTCTCATCTCCACCAGCACTGAAATACTGAGGTTTATCTGCCTACCAACCTCTTTCCTCTCTAAAAACATTCTCCTGTTTGCTTCTCTCTCTCTCTCTCTCTCTCTCTCTCTCTCTCTCACACACACACACACACACACCATCATCATCATCATACTTGTCCTGCCTCACCTGAACTTTGCACACTGATTTTTTAAAATATATTTTATTGATTTTTCACAGAGAGGAAGCAAGAGAGGGATAGAGAGTTAGAAACATTGATAAGAGAGACATCGATTAGCTGCCTCTTGCACACCCCCTACTGGGGATGTGCCCGCAACCAAGTACATTGACCAGAATCGAACCCGGGACCTTTCAGCCTAGCCTGCAGGCAGACGCTCTATCCACTGAGCCAAACCGGTTTTTGGCTGCACACTGATTTCTATGGAGAGATCATGCCATGAAGTGCAGAGAAATTAGCTTAAAAAAAAAAAATCATGTTCAAATACCCATTTTGCCTCTCACAATCTGGGTGACCAGTCACACTACTTAACCTCTCTGTCTCACGTCTATCATCTGCAAATAGGGAATACTGCTCATTTATTGGGTTTTACACTGTGTAGCTGACATATGTAATGTAGTTAACACAGTGCCATGTACTATCAGGCATTTGATAAACACAGTTATTTACTATAAAAAATAGTATTTATCTCACCGGACTTATTCCTACATGCCTGACACCTAAAGTAGTTTCTCAAAATGTTAGTTCTACCCCTCCGCATCCTTGAAACAACTTCCTACTTCTTTCTAACAAAGATTCAGAAACTAGTTCCAACCCAACAAAGATTTCCCTAATTCAGATGCAGAAGTATTTGTAGATTTACTAAATTTTCACACAGACACACACTCCATACACCAATAACCCTTACTGAAAGCTACCCAGACATAAATCTTAAGTCCCTGTTAGAACATAATCACATTTCGCAGGTTCCCCGCCAAAGCCGTGTGAGATCGTGCGGACGGACCCCAGCGTGCCCTCCGGGTGGCAGCTGGGACCAGGCGCGCTGCGGTACCCCGGGCTCCGCGCCCAGCGCCGGGCGGGAACGGGAAGTGTGTGCACCAGGCACACCCTGAGGTGCGGGGAGGACACTCCACACGACGTCCCCTCAGTCTCAGGGGGTGACGCGCGTCGAGGCCACGCGGTGACGTGGTCTGGGCGGGTGACTGTGAACCTGTGTCAGTGTCACCGCGTGTGCCTGCCGGTCCCCGCGGCGGGTCGGCCGCGTGTCAGTGTCACCGCGTGTGCCTGCCGGAGCCGCACAACCGAAAGCACATCCGTGTGCGCGCCGCGACGTCGGAGCGCGAATGTGGATCCCCCTGAACCCGAGGGACCGGCGAAGGGCGACGCCGCGAACCCCCGCAGGGCTGTCCTGCAGGTGCTTACCTCTGCGGACGAGCAGGTGGACGCCCCTGGGCGCCGCCATGTTGGCGCGGGTCACGTGGCCGCGCGCTCCCCGCCCCGCCCGCCGGAGCCGTCCGGACGCAGCCCTGCGGGGCCAGGACCGCCCGGGGGAGCGCGCGTGCGCGCGGCGGCCTGACTGCGGGATCCCCGGCGGCGGCGGCGGCGGCGGAGGGGGTCCGGCCCGGGGCAGCGAGGTAACCCGCGGCCGCCCGCCCGAGCCCCGCTCCGGCCTCGAGAGGCGGGCTCCGGCCGCGGTTCGCGCGCCCGCGCTGCACCCGGCGTCCAGGTGGGATGGAAGAAGCCGGTCAGGTAAGCGTGGCATCCGGTCTTTGGTGCATCAACGTTGTGGTGCATGGAGACCTGAAGTTGGGAGGAAAAATAAATAAATAAAAGCACAATCGAGCGTTCACCTTAGCACTTTGCATTGTTTGTCACTTTAGTTGCGAATTCTTTCCCCGGATTCGGCTGAAAGGTAAATTTGGTTCAAAGTCGCCAGCTGCCCCTGGGCAGTCCGATAATCTACATTATTCAACGGAGACTCCAAGACAACACAGGATTTGTGTGCAGCTGCAAAGTCTGTTCCGGGTATGTGTGTAGGGGACTTCTCATTTCCCAAGGACACCCCCCCGCTTAGCTGTATTAACGGGAGACGTAAGCCTGAACTTGACTTTTAAGAATGAGAGCATGACGTCTGCCAATTGCGCTGCTGAAAGATGCAGCCTACAGAAGGCCAATGGTGAGGCAAGGAGGGAGCTGATGTGTCCCTGGTGATGACAGTGCCCGTTTGTCCCAAATTCACTTTTCCTCTTATTTGCGTTCTGGGGCAGATTCCATCCTGTCATGGACCAGGTGTCATTCATCTTGGTAGTCTGGTGCCCAGCAAAGAGCTGATATGCAAGGAGTATCTGGTGAAGGAATTGAACTCTCCATGGAACCTGCCAAACCAAGAATGTAACAGTTTCCCGGACTTTAAATGCAATAAAGATGGATAAGGATTTTTGGTAAATGTGTTTCCTAATTAATTTTTAACGATTTAATTTAATTATACACTCAGTGAAAAATCCGGACAATTCAGAAATTCAGATTAAAGGAAAAAGTGCAGTCCCCTTCCTCACCCTGTCTGCACTCCACTCTCCACATGCAACCCCCCTTCCCCCTAGTGTGCATCATTCCAGGCCTTTGAGAGGCAAATATCTGTCAATATTTTAAATGGATTCACAGACTTACTGTTGCAACTTGTTTTTTTCCATTCATCATAAACATCAAACCTCAGAACGCTTAGCTCAAGCTCATTCTTTTTAATGACTACATAGTTCTGATATTTTTTACTTTTAAAGAGAGTGAATTTTGGCCCTGGCAGGTGTGGCTCAGTCTGTTGGAGCTTTGTTCTGTACACCAAAAGGTCACAGGTTGGATTCCCTGTCAGGACACTTATCCAGGTTGTGGGTTCCATCCTGTCTGCCATGCAGGAGGCAACTGATTGATGTTTCACTCTCACATCAATGTTTCTCTGTGTGTGTCTCTCCCTCACTGCCTCCCTCCCTCTCTCAAATGTCCTTGGGTGAGGATTTTAAAAAAAAAGAGAGAGAATGATTTTTTTTTTTTTTTTTGGCAGTTTGTTAGAGGACACATGCTGTACTCTTTGGTGATCCAGTTTTGGGTGCTTTGGGGTCCCCTTGAAAGACAAAGAGAAATCATGTTTTCCACTGAGGTAAATAAGATGTATGGGATGAGAATGAAAAGTACCCCTACACGTTACTTCAACACCCACCTTTTCCAAATCCAGATCCATTTCAGGGAGAGATCTTTTGATGATGGTAAACAAAGGAGCCTGAGAGTTAACAGGACACAGAGGCTCAGGAAGTGTGCAGAAAAAAGAAACCCAGGGTGCCTGGTGAAAGGTCAGAAGGCATTAAGCCCAATTTCAAACATCTGAAACAGAACACATGTTCACATGATGTAGTTCAGCCGACCTGGGGGAAACCATTGCACAATGTGTTCCCTGGCGACTACAAGAACAAGGAAAAGGAAACACTGTGAAGACTCAGGTGGTACCACCCTGGTGGAATCCCCAAGTAGGTCCGTATAGAACGTGGCTGTATAAGATAAGTGAGAAATGAAGCAGGTAGTAACTTGCATAGTTCATCCACAGATTCTTGATTCTGTTTCTTTCATGCCATATCGTTCTGCTACTATAGAAGGATTAAAAGCTGCCAGCATGTGTCCTCCTAAATCACCAATTTACGAGATATATGCATAGTGGCCAACAGGATAAAGAGCTAGACCACTGATAATCTGGGACCTCTTGCAATGCTAACATTCTGTGGTCCTGGCTTTCAGGATATTATGCTTTCATCTAGATGAGTAACCATTAGTGACTCACGACTCCATGTCTGCCCATCTTCCCACCAGTGAAATGAAAATTAGTTATATTGTGTTACCTCACTGATTTGAACTCCCTTCATTATTCAGACTTTGTACTTGGGTTTCCTGAGTAAAAGTTGAATAATTTTTCAAAACCAGGGTTCAAGAAATAAAGGATAATTTCTTAACACCTTAATTTTTTTGTGTCCAAAAATTCATTCTTCAATGGTAAAATATTTTTATTAATTGTGATTAATAATTGTTTTACAGGCCTTTTACCTTGGTTTTTAAAAGATCATGTCTTGCCCTAGCTGGTTTGGCTCAGTGCATAGAGCATTGGCCTGCGGACTGAAGGGTCTCAGGTTTGATTCCAGTCAAGGGCATGTACCTTGGTTTCAGGCACATCCCCAGTAGGGAATGTGCAGGAGGCAGCTGATTAATGCTTCTCTCTCCTTGATGTTTCTAACTTTCTAACCCTCTCCCTTCCTGTCTGTAAAAAAAACCAATAAAATATTTTAAAAAGAGATCATGTCTTATTAGAATCTTTTAAAAATATCTGTATCGTTTTTATAAAAGAAATATATCAAATAAATTCTGATTTTATATTTTTGAAGTCAGTCTTACCTTTCTCCTTCTACTTAATATTTTATTATAGATTTATACCATATAACTTTTTTCAAAAGTTGTATATATTTTGTGATAATATTTAAATTATTTTGGTCTCTGTAGAGTATTAAGTGAAATAAGCCAGGCAATGAAAGAAAAATATCACATGATCTCATTCATTTATGGAAAATAAAGAGCATTATAACCTGATGAACAAAAAGATAGATACAGAGGCAGTAAAGCATTGAACAGACTGTCAAATTACAGCAGGAAGGCTGGGGAGTGTTGGGGAAGGGGGGGGGGGAAATCAACAAAGAACTTGTATGCATGCATATAAGCACACCAATGGACACAAGGCACTGGGGAGTGGGCTGAGGGCATGGGACAGGAGGTAGGGGAGGCTGGGGAAAGGTCAATGGGGAAAAAAAGATATATGTACTACTATATGTAATATTTTAAACAATAAAAAAATAATAAATAAGTTAGAAAAAATAAATTATATCGGCCTCTGTAATGTATGTATTGAATTTGTAATTCACATTTATATTTTTAAATGCCCTAGGGGATTATGTGACATGAAATCCTTTAAAAACAAATTTTGCTTTGTAATACATTTTATAACTTGTTTTACAAGTTTAAATTTTAAGTACTCATTAGGATTACTTATAGTGCAAGATACTTAAAAACATAGTAAGGTACTTACATATCTATAGAAGAAAATTGTTATTTATGAACATGTAAAACTGACTGAAAAAAAATGTGGTGTTTTTTACTGGGCACAGAGCAGATTCTATGTATTCCAGCCTTCATTTACCATTGCTGAGCTTGCCATCAGTTTGGCCATCTGAATCAGAAAAAGTAGCTTTTTTAAATTTGATTTCAGGATCCTTTCTTAGCATTTTACGCTATAGCTTGAGAAGAGTATTTCCAAAACTGCCCTCTAGTTTGTCAAATTTTAGTATGAGGAAATACTTTTATTTACTTACATGTCTTAAGTCAAATATTCTTTCTAGGAACTAAGAGTTCTGCATAAATATAATCTGCATACAACAGGGACCCCTCTTTGTAGCTGAGCGGACCCCTTTAAAGTTAGGGCCTGGCTTCAAATGATTATACGTTCAAAGCAAAAAGTTTCTAGGGCATTCTTTTAGCCAACTTGCATGCAGAATGTCATTTCCAATAGCGGTCATTTGAGACAATAAGGATATGTTACTGGTAATCTAGGGATGTCCTTAGAAAAAAAGTGTATAAATGCTCCATGTTTGTTTTGTTTTAGGAAAACTAATGCTATACCACGGCAGTTGTGAAATCATGTGGATATCTTTCCTGGATTTGTGGTTGCCTAGAAGGACCCCTGCCTGATAAAGGGCATAGGGGATTTAGTTGTATGTGACCCTCATGTCCCTCCCATTTTTTGTCCAATGACATTTTCTCAAGTGAACGTTAAGTCCCACTCCCTCCTAACAAGATTGCTCTACTTGAGCCCCTCCTGTATTGAAATCAGAAGATTTCAGGGATCTATAGCCTAATGCATAGACCTAATCCAAATTGACAGTCTGTCATGTAAGCAGAGTGGAATGGGACCAGACAGGGCTAACCTTGTCCCAAGGGAGTCGTTCTCAGGACCAGCCTGGCTCATTTATTTTTTCAAGCTGTCTTATATATTATGAGGGGTTGTAAGGCAGAAATCATGCTGCAACAACAGCCTAGTCACTGTTGGAGCAGTTGCCCACCTGGAATGGTTGGCAGGGATCGAGGGAGGGAAGGTATGGGAAGGTTATTGGGAAAAGGAGGTGGATGGTCCCAAACACTGCTTGCTTTAGTCGGAGATGGCTTGGAAACTGTACAGGCTTGAAGGTCAAGGCTTCCCTGACCTCATCTCTTGGAACTGGCTCTGCGGGAAGCTGGATTAAAGCAGAAGTGTGCATTTGCCCCATGAAATTTAAATAAGAATGAATACCATTAGCGACTGCCATCTATTCTCCGTTAGTAATCCCTGGGAAAGTAGCACCTGCTTATATACTTCTGGAGAATGAAGAACCTATTCAGAGTAAGGAAGAACGGCAGAAAGTTTCCAAAAGATGCTAGTGATCAATCAGCCAATCAATAAATAACTTAAGTGCCCACACTAGGCTCCAAGGAGATATGATACTATTTTTGTTGGAACTAGTATGAACTAATTGGAAAACTCAAACTGATATGCTCATAAGATTGCCCATAGAGAAAAACTGAATACCCTTGAGGCAAAAACTGCATAGCAGCAATGCCAGGAGGGGGGGCGGGGGGTCACAGATTCTATCTCTGGCTGCTGAGAACTGAGAAAAATGCTTAACTCTAATTATATAAGTTCCCAGGAAATTGTACCTG